GTCAAGCTTGCCTTCTGACACTTTAGAGCAACACATCGCTCAGCCTGGTAATGTCACAGAGCGCCGTGTGGGATCCAAAGTCTCAAAGAGGCGATCCTGACGATGGCTCTGTCGGTGCCCGCTGAGACGCATGATATAACTTCAGTTCATACACTCTCATCCGAACTCATCGCCGAATCGCCCAATACACTGCCATATAACATCAATATAGCACCATATTCAATAATAAGAATATATTAAGAATGGATTACTGTAGACTATGTGGCTTCAAGAGTAAAGCGCAGCAAAGTGCCAGGCCTTGGCCTTCACCTGCCCAGACAGGATCAAGCCATTTCTCACAAGCCCGGGGTTTCGATGACGTCGACGCCGAAAGGGGGCCTCGACTTGCTGCGCCAGTGCATTCATCAGTGTCGACCTAGGCGTTGGGGTGCATCCCACTGTTTGGCTTCGAAGGATTTGTGACAAGATCTCAGACCTTGGGTAGTCGGGGGCCCGAGAAACAGCGTTCGCTTTGCTAGGAAAGAGCTGGAAAGGTGCAGCAGACCAGGGAGCAGGCTTTCCCGCGTTCGTGTAGCCAACCTTCAACATTCACAGTGTGCTGAGAGATGCCGACTGGAGACTGCTCAGATCCATGATCTTGCTGCCAAGCCGCGAGGGAAACGATGGGCAAGCCCAGTTCGAAATGACCTCGACGAATGCATCAGAAGGCCTCACTTGCCCTATGCCATGAAACTTCAGCAGTATGTGCAAAAGCGAGGCTGCAGGGAGAACTTCAATCCGTCCTACAATATCCGAGACGACCCCCGAGCTCCGCTACGAGCAGGCACAAGCAAGCTGTCAGGTTTCGCAGGAGACTTGATTCAATCGCCTCTTCAACCCATCCCCTCAGGCTCCCTTGCGTTCGCGCTGCTGGGCCCGGACTTTGCGGACCTCAGAGAGTAAACGCAGTTCCAAGTCAGCTTCCAGAATGTAACCGCATCATCCAGCGTCACCAAGGAGCCACCAGTCGAATCGCTTCAACTACATGTTTCAGTCTTGCCGCCCTGCTACTGCGCATTACTGTGCGATCACGACATCTACCATCCTTGCTAGCAAAACTTCATCAGAAAGCCCTGTGCCAGGCGACACGTAGATGATCCAGCCTCGTCCAACGCTTTGGTTGTCGCTGCGATCTTTCGCTTCATGAGGCTCCTGAGACCAACTTTGACATTCGCCAACTGCGGATCGTGGATGTGGAACTGCACGCTTGCCCCCCTCTGTCACGTGACAAAGCAAAGCTCTAAGAAAAGAAGTGTCAACATCCCTCCTTCCCGAATATCATCTACAGTATACATCAGACGTAAGCCCAATCATCTACACAAGTCCGTGAAGCCTCATGGCTCAGCCGGTTTTCTTTGCACGGGAATGCATCGGCTTGTCGATTGGATTACTCACATGCACTGTCTGTAACAAAGTGTCACAGCACGCCCGCGATTCATGGAACAACGCGGACTCGGAGCGGACCGCTTGCTGTCTCTAACACTCATTCCAAAACGAATCCTGACATCATCCCAAAAGGCAAACTCCGAGAGACAGCAGCCAGCAATGGAACGCTCGTCTGGAAGCTGTGCTGTGCTAGCTAATCCGCCGAGTTGAATTCACAAGCAGCTACTTGTCTGGCTGCTTGGCAGGGCGAAGCATGCGCACTTTCTTGGGATTGTCCGCGATTTCGTGCACCCGCAGCAACGCAGCTCGTGGCGATGTCGGGGTGAAACCTTTGGTGGGCAAAGGCAAGGCCGAAGGCAACTTGGGGGATCCCTGGAGTCCCACTCCCCGGCGAGCGAACGATACAAACGTCGACTGGACGAAGAAGACCGTCAGGCACCAGAGGCTTCGGCCCGAGCCGGGCCGTTTTGTGTGCTTTGTCTTTGCCTTCCCGGACTTCCCGGCGGACCCGGCGGGGGACCCGGGGGACCCGGGCCCCACCAGACTCTTCACGTTGAGGCCGAGGCTTCCCAGCTCTTCCACTTCTGGAATCTGGAGCTTCGGCTCCGTGGGCTCCGTCTCCTCGATCTCGTTCACGAGCGCCTCCAGATCCAGGCTGGTCCTGACCTCTGAGAGCTTCGCTTTCAGGACGCGAATCAAGTCATCGGCGTCCTCGAGCTTCACGATCTCCGTCGCTGAACGGAGGATGGCAGCTGCCTCGGACTTTCCGACCCTCTTGGGACTGTGCAGGCTGGCTGCGAAGAATCTGAAACCCGTCGAAACTTCACCGCCTAACTCCGCCCTTCCACCATTACTGCAAGCAAGCTAAGGTGTGAGATTTCAGCCCCCGCTGCGTTATACTTTGTGCTCAGCCACGACCAGTTGCGGCACCAGGCGATCGATGGCATCGCCTTCAAGAAGGCGATTGCAGAGATGCTCGCTTGCCGGCAAAGCAAACTCCGAGGCGAACATCGACCTCAGCAGGGGCTCGCTTCTTGCCTCGCTTGCCTGACGGGCTGACATCAGGACGTGATACACCTGGAAAGCTGATGAAGTTGCAGTGTGCCGCTGCTTCGGGGCAGTTGGGCGAGGAAGCTTCGACAGGGCAACCAAGCAGCAAGAACCAGCCAGGCATGAATCCTCTCAGGGAGTCATGTGCAACTAAGTTCAGGAGTCGCGGGCAACGAAGTGTCGAAAGGCCTGCTTTTCTACAGCCCGGAGTCCTGTCAGATAGAAATGCATGTCCACCCTGTGCAGGTGGTCGGTCAGGACCTTACTCTTCTTCATCAACATCTCGAACCTGAGCAGAAAGGAGTCGTGTGCAGAACCCACTTCGGGGAATCTCATGTCCAACGACGAATCCGGCAAGAATCGCAACCCTCGGCCGGAGCCGTGCGTGAACATTGATGACTTCTCCAAGCGCACTTCTGGCGATTCTCTCCCCTTGCAGGAAAACGAAAAGTTTGCCGAAGCTGGTCGCGGCACACGGCACAAACAGCCATGTCCACAGGCTCGGCCATGGAGCCATTTGTTCTCACAAAACCTGAAAACAATGGGCTTTACTGGTGCGTCTCCACTTCTGTCAACACGCATGCATGCATGCATGCATGCATGCATGCATGCATGAATGCATGTAGGTATGTAGATGTGTATGTACATGTATGTATATACATCTATATATATATAGTATATATGAAACTAAACAGTATAAAGCCATGTATTAGAAGATCATATAGTATAGTATACTACAATATAGAAGAAAGTGATGTAAAAAGCTAGAGTCTCATGTAATATGATATATACATAGATGCACCTATATACTTATATATATATATACAGTGTATATGCATATACACATATGTTTATGTATGTATGTATGTATGTATGAATGTATGTATGTATGTATGTATGTACGTATGTATGTATGTATGTATGTATGTATGTGGGTATGTACGTATTTATGTATTACATACATGTATATGCACATGTCACTTCCTGTATATATGCACATACGTATACACATGTGTATATATATATACATACACATACGTACATACATGTATTCATCCGTTCATACCTACATGCGTACATGCATACATTCACATTTACATACAAAAATGTGTAGGTGTATACGTACATATATAACCACCTGCATAGATATACATATATACATATATATACATTTATTTATTTACTTGTATCATATGTGAGTATATACATATACATAGAGAGAAGGAGAGCGAGAGAGAGACCTGATATAAATTGTCAAGACTGTATGTATGTATGTATATATATATATATATCTCTCTCTCTCTCTCTCTTTATCTATCTATCTATCTATCTATCTATCCCTGTAGCTCTAGCTGTACTCTAGTCTAGCTATAGCTACAGCTATAGCTATATCTATATCTATATCTATATATACCGACATATATGTATATATATATATATATTCGTAATATATAATATATATATATGTAAATAAACATGTATACATATATATATATACGTACACATAAGTGTATATATGTATATATGAACACAAATGTATATGCACACACATCTAAGCATCGGCAAAATACTTTAATATACATATATATATACACACACTTATGTACTGCTTTATCTGTTTATATTTGTATATTCATATATATAACAACAACAAATACAAACGTACATACATACATACATACATACATACATACATACATACATACATTTCTTCCGGACGCAGCGAGAAGAGTCTCCTTCGCCTAGCGAGAAACAGTAGCAGAGCAAGCTCCGGCATCTCAAGGATGCTACACTACCTGGTTGCACTAGGCCATTTTGGCCGTCAGTGCATGAAAGAACTCAATGTCATCTCACGTCAATGATGAACGTCAATCGACCTAGGTCAATCGTACGAGCCAAGCGATGTAGGACTGTTGTGCCAATGCAGCAGCTTCATTCACAGTGCACTCAGTGGCAGTGGTGCCATCATCAGTCAGCCAGTGTCTGTCTCTTTTCGGCCAGAGGCAGCGGTAATGTCCGGTGTTCGGTGTGTCCCCAAAGTGGACAATGATAGATACCACCTGAAAAGGACGATGCAGGCACTGAAGAGTAGATTCACCAGCGAAGTACGGCAACCACACAGTATCCAGTAAACCAGTAATTGAGGCTGAGGATTTCACGATCCGCTTGTGTTTTCCCCGCCCCACAGCATTGTACCTCATAAAGTGTAGCATGACAACCTCAGCATCTGTGCCAAGGGCATGCAAAGCAAAGGATTGCTGGGAATGCCACCGATCAATGCACTGCTGCAACTGCAACATGGCAGCATCCTGTAGCGGCACAGGGATGGGACAGGTCAATGGACCAGAGTCCTTGAGACTGACGACACCAGCCTCAGAAAAACGAGCATACCAGCGCCCTTTGAAGGAAGGAATCCGCAGGCCTGGAACAATATGCTGGACAAATTCCACCACATCATGTTGCTGATAAGGACGAACCCATGGACTGATCAGGAGCATCCATGGCATGTATTTGCTGATGTCAAGCACCCCCGCCTGTTGTCGCAACGCCCCTACAACCACGCGTAAGCGGCCAAGCTCATCCTCATCCATGGGATGCAATGCTTGCACAACATGCAAGAGCGCAAGCAGTGCACTGTTCATATAGCATGTAGTGGACGTGGGATTGAGGAGGCAAACTCGACCAGCCAAAGCTGACCCCCATTGCCGGAACGGATCCTTCGGCTCCGTTGTCATCTGTACATCCTGTGCCTCTTGAGAGTCCGTCTCCCGTCGAGCTCTCTTGGCTGCCATAGTTGCCGAGGTCTTGTTGGCTGGCTCCCCTGGTGGATGACAAACTGACAAGAGATGTTGAAACATCTGCTTCTCCTGTTCTTTGGCCTCCTGACTGAGAGTGCCTTGAAGACTTGGAGTCGGAGGTGGCGTCATGGCGTTTAGCATAAAGCTCCAGGAAACAGCACACCGTGATGACATGACAACGTTTCCAATGAGTCTGCACATCAAAAGTCTGTTCGAGGCAATAGGGGCATGGTTTGGTGATCATTCGCTTCATAAGCACCGTACGCTCGAGCACTGCCGGCAATAGTTTTGTCCAAACGCTGTGCGATCTAGACATGTGAACCTTGACACCCGCAGACGAAGCGCACCATTGTCCGCAACACGGGCAGTGGTGTCTCAGCTCGTCACGAAGCTTCGGATCCTTGAGCAGCAGTTGCCACCCATGTCGTCGTACTGATGCCTGGACATCAGCCCGGTCAGCAATGGGGATGACTTGAGGTTGCCCAACCCTCTTCTGCCAGAACTGGTCCACCGATTGGCTACTTGTACCTGAGCCCGGCATGTGGACGGAGCGACTGGGGACCTCCTCGTGAGGCCAAGCTGAGGTTGTCACCCCAGTGACCCGAGTAGGAGTAGAGGTAACCGCAGTGAGACACCTCAGGCTGTCCGTACCAGCTGCCTCACCAACAGTGCGCGACATGGACGAGAGAGCCTCAGCCGGACAACTGGCATGATGGTGACAGTGCAAGTCAGGAGTATCAGGAGGAGGCCGGAGACCAAGTTGACTCCGAAGGTCAGGATCCAGCGCCGGACAACGGCCACGGCTAATGTGATCCTTCAGTGTGGTCCACCGGGTAAAGGAGCGTCCACAAAGAACACATGTGGGCATACCAGCACAAGGTGAAGCTGCTTATCAAACGGGACACCCAAGGCCCTTTGTGATACGATCAACTTGTGATGCGCGGCTTGATGAACACGAAGTTGCCTAAGATCAGGGAAGGAAATGGTACAAGTGGGGCATCGAAAATCCTGAGCAATCCCTGCCTTCATGCGACATATCAACAGGAGATGCAATGTGCAGACGACAGATGCCATGATCATCAGCCTCAGCCCCTTGGTAGCTGGAGACCAAAGCAGGGTCAGGAAGGTGACCAAGTGAAGTAAGAAGTCTCTCACATTCCGAAAGAACCGCAGGACGCTCAAGACCCGCCAGAACAGCATGGGAAACTCTGTCACGAAGGCCAGTCAGGGCACGCGCAAGAAGTTCATGCACGGAAGAAATTCCAAGTCTGGCATAGAGGCACGCAGTGCTTTCAAAAGTCAGATGAGATTGTGATCTCGCCACAGCACGAAGATGTCGGGTGTAGACATTATGCAGACTGAGGAGCTGGTGCGAGCCAAGAGCCAGAGTATGTACTCCACACAGAAGAGTGGGAGGAAGACACGCCCTCCACAGTCTGAGTCGGAGGCCCAGGGCTGGAGCTGACGCCGATGTGAGAGCAGGCCGAAGTCGGGACCAGGTGGCCCACGCAGCTTGGACACGATGCGCGACTGAGGCTGTATGCGGATTGCGATATGAAATAACCAATCCAAGATAGACATGCTCCTGCTTGATCGGTATGTCAAACGTCCTGCCAGCGGGGGTGGCAAAGTGTAGATACGGCCCTTCCTCTCCGTTTCGCACATGACACTTCCGCCGCGCCAGGCAGGCGCAAATCCTTTGGTCAGACGCAGCAGGATGGCTGACTTCTTTGAATTCACCTGCAAGTGAGCATTCACCAGCTGATCAAGGAAAACACCAAAACGATGCAAGGACCTATCAAGATGTTCGCCACGACTTACGCATTCACCTGTGTGAAAATCGTCGGCGTAAGCAGTCAAAGAGTCCTTAGACCACAAGAAGCCTAGCACCGCGTCTGTGCGACGCATAAGCACAGCCGTGGCTAGCGCCCACAACATCGGAGCGATGCGGCATCCTTGCCGCACACCCCTGCCAATGGACACTCGCGCGGTGGATGCAGAGACTTTAATGTGATAGTACATCTCCCGGTGCCAGCCTATAATGAGTCTGTAGAGGTCGCTGGGTACGCCAGCCTCCATCAGTGAGTCGCTTATGAGCGGCCATTCCAAGCGATCAAACGCTTGCGAGAGGTCAAGCGACAATTGAATGGCGCCTCCTTTGAGTTTGCTGGAGCGACGATCCCTCTCGCCAAAGGAGCCGCCGTAGAGCCCGCCGCCCACCTGGCATCGTGTATATTGTAAGGCATGGCCTCGCACATCTGTTGCCCCTCCCTACAATGGAGGAGCACGCGAAGTAGTGCTTGATCTGTGGCGCGATCCACAAGGTACGCGTACTGAGGATGTTGGCTGAGAAACGCCATGACATACGGTCTGAGCTGATGCTGGATTAAGCCACAGACGACACGTCCTGATATCTCAGAGATGCCAAGGGGGCGCAGTTGTCGAGGCAGAGTGGGTGCAGAGACCTTTGGCAGGAGGGACAGCCACGTGTCCTTCCAGAGCTGCGGAATACTGGACGCCTCTTTGAGGGTATTAGCCAACCAAGGGCGCAGAAGATCCGAGCACGCCACCCAGATCGAAGTATGGGCCAGATGCGCTGGCGCGGCTTTGTGCGGCGAGAGGCGCCGTAAGGCAGGAATCACCAACTCAGGATTCAGGCAATCAAAGAGACCATCCCGATTGTCAGAGTGCAAGGGATCAGGCGTAGACAGGGAATCTTGATGGCCCGACGTGT